AATCCATGTTTCCATTCATCCAATCGTGGTAGTTAACATTTCAACAGATGTTGAAATACACAAATATTTTCATTCAGCTGATGTCCCCAGAGCCCTTTAATCAGATCGTTTTACAGGACTGCTCCCACACACCTGAATACTTGCCCTATGAACACGTCTAAATGAAGTAATTTGAGAAATTGAAAGAGAATTATAAAAAGCTAATCTTACATAAATCCCAGTCAAATAAATTTTAAGTTTAGTACGCAAAACAAAAACAGAACTCAATTGTGGAATGCTGGCGGAAGACTAACAACAAAAGGATTATTCTGAAGACAACAGCTGCTTCTAGCAGTAACTGTATCTTCATTATAGGCTTTAATTACTTTGACCATACAGCTCTGAATAACAGTGTATTTAGCCAGTTAGCACTAAGCTCAGGGTTCTCCATTTACACTTGAGGTTTTTTCACTACTGACACACTGGAACAGTTGTGTTTATTTTCTCTTTCAAATATCAATAACCAAGACAGAGTGGCACAGGGATGTGATTCTGTACCTGGGTGTTTAAGTACTTAAATAGTAAAGAGCTCTGTAGCTTTCAGTAATTAATTACTGCATAAATATTCTTCACGCTCAGAAAAAAAAACACAACACCAGCATTCACTGCAAACTGCACATGCCCTATGCCTCAGATGTACATATTCAGCTGTTTAAGACATACATTTTTTAATCAACACTCTAAAGAACTCTGTGACAGCCTACGACTCCACAACAACGTATGCAAAACAACAAAAAAAATCTTATTTTTTATTAAACCTGAAAAAGTTTGGTAATAAAACAAATGTAATCAAAAGGACCAAAGGAAGACCACTCCTTAGTTTCACATCCTATTCCTTTCTACTCTGTTATCCAGTCCATATTTTTGATACCTGGTGCCGGGATCTAAGCAACAAGAACTACTCACCAAGCAAGACACAACGTTACTGAGTCACTTTCATTAGATGTTTCCCCTTGTATTGTTTCATAAAATTATTAAGGTTAGAAAAGACCTCTAAGATCGTTACGTTAGACTGTAATCTACCACCAATACTGTCCAAACTGTGGCCCTCAGGGCCACATCCCCACCGATCTGGAACACCTCCAGGTTTGGTGACTCCACCACCTCCCTGGGCAGCTGTGCCAGTGCATCTCTGCTTTTACAGAGAAGAAATTTCTTGTAATGCACAACCAGTACTACATCTGAAATGTAAGAAAGAAAAATGTGTGCCCACACTCACACACCTGCACTATCTCACACATGGTTACGGCCTACAATTTAACCAAGGACCTGAATATATAGATAGATAAACATCATTCTCCTTTTTAACATGGTTCTTAGAACTCTGATTAACATGGTTCTACAATTCCACCTACGACAGTTAAAAAAGTCAGTTTTTCTTCGGCAAGCGTATTTTAGATTTAAGCTTGAAAGCAGGCGGACAAATGACAGAGTGCAAGGGTTACACTGAAAATGATAAGTCATAACCGATGAACTGAATACTGAGTGCTAAATCGCCGAAAGGACGTTAAAAAAAAGCTCGAACCGAGAGCTGACCCGCTTGTGAGGTTACACAATACTTACGTTACGCCGCCTTCTAAAGCCCTCAGCCTGCCCATTCCCTTCTATCCCACACCAGCCGGCATTCAGAGCACCGAGCCCGCCAGGAAGGCCCGGCCCGGCCTGCCGGGCGCAGCGATGGCTGAAGCCGGGCCGCCTCGCACTCCGAGTCCGGACGTAGCCACCGCCCGCCCGCCCGCCCGCCTCCCATCCCTTCAGGGCGCCGAAACCATCCCTTTCCTTCTCTTACCGTAAGAACGCACCGAGCCTACGGCCGAGAGGGACCGCGGCCACCCCGCCCCTGCTGAGGATGTGCCTCGGGCCCCAGGGACGCGGCGCTCCGCCACCCCGCGGGCCGCGGCGAAGAGGTGACCGCAACGGCAGCCGGGCCGCGGGCACAGCGCCCCCTCCCGCAAGCGGACGGGCACACACCGGATGCGGCCGCTCCGGGCGCGCCCCGCATAAAGATGGCGGCCGCAGGCTCTCGCCCCGCCCTGCCCGGCCGCTTGCAGGCGAAGGCTGCCCTGCGGAAAGATGGCCGCCACGGGTTGTCCTCACGCGGTAGGAGCCACCTCCCTAACGACCTCGGCCGCTTCCGCGCCGGCCCGGAAGCGGATCCGCTCCGTCTCCTAGCAGCGGCGGGAGCCGGGAGGGAGCCGCCCGGGGCGGCTTGTGGCTGTGCTACAGGTAACCGAGAGCGGCATCCGCAGCGCCGCCGCACAGCGGGACTCTGCTGGTACCCGGGATTTGGGGTGGGTGCCGAGGAGCGCGGGAGCCGGGTGCCACCCGCCACCCGCTCGGGCCGGCGGAGCGCCGCGAGGCTCGGCGTTCCCGCCCGGAGCTCCCGGGGTGCCTGTCCGGGCATAGAGCTGCTCTGTGGGGATGTCACCCTGCACCGAGGTGCGGTTGTAGGTTTGCGCTGTGTTCAGCGTCGGGAGAGGGTGGTGTTCATCTCAGAGTGAGGTTACGTCAGGCTGTGGTATTTATTCCTTATCGCGTGTCTGTAGATACGCTGAATCTCTCAGTGAGAATCTTCCTGTCTGCCCCTGAACTCTTTGAGCTGGTGCGTATGTTCTGCTGACAGTAGCCATCGTAGAGCTGTCTTGTGTACATTTTGGAGTATATAGGCAGTGAGCTTTCGGGTAATAAAGCAGACGGCTTTCTGTAGGTCCTTCCTTAGACACACAGCCCTTTGCAGAGTACAGTTACAATGGGCTGGAGCCAGGCCAGCAATGCACTGCTTTGTCATTAAGCACAAATCCCTCTGCACGAGCATCGCTCAGATTAGTCGGGTACCTGTTATCTGAGGGCAGCGGGCCTGTAGAAGAAAGTTGTCCTAGGCTTACGTTGCATAATTCTTCATCCTTTGTTTGACAGTATTCAGAGGACATCTGTGACTGATGTTTTCGACGTAATTCCACTTAATGAGGTTATGGGAGAGAAGGAGCCATGTCAGAGGAGGCTGTTACCGAGGCACGCTTTTCTCTGAAGACAGTGGCTCTACGGGCATTTCACCTTCCTGTGTCTTGGTATCACTCTCTCACACAGGTAATGCACACGTTATCTGAGTATTATAATTTGTGATACATTTTTAAAGTTTAATTGTAATATTATACTCTTTCTTCTGATCTTAATATGAGCTAAATTTGTGAGGAGTGTCTTGGCCTTAGTATCTATAATAAGTTTCTTTTATCTTTTCCTGCTGATTGTGTATCATCATATATCAGACTAAGCAGACAGCTTTTTCTGCAATGTTTGTGTGTCTTCATTTTGTATAATCAAAATACCTGAACTGTCCTTTCTGTAGAATTTCCAGGTGGTTAAAAACTAAATGTAGCAGTTGGTAAAATTTTGGGAAACAGTATGGAGTGCAGTCTCAAAGGCTGGCAGTACCACTCTCCAAGTTAATCTAAATGATTACTCTTAATCAGAAATCAAAAAGTGTACTTCTCGCTACTGAGTCACTTCTGCTTGATTAAATAAGTGACAAATTACTAAAATGAGGCGGTGAATCTTATAAAGAATAGAACCAGATTATTTTTTTGTTATTTTTTTGCTTGTTTGTGTTTGTTTTATGCATGGAAAGATTGTCCAATATAACATTTAAGGCTCTATTAATTGCAGAATTTTCTTTCATAAATGGACCTTGTGTGATTTCTTTCATTGACGTAGTGCTGTAAAAATAGCAACATGGTTAACAGTCCCTCACATTTGGGTAAAGAGTATGTTCATTCTGACCTTTATTTTCAAGTTGGTAGGCTGAGAGCGTTGTGAAGCTGATACTGCTTGTATGCAGGGAATATAAGATGTGTCCCTAGAGCTACCTCAGGACAAATGCAGGGGGGAGTTGCTGTCATTACATTGTAGAGATCCAGAGAAAAGAGATGCTAGTTGCCTGTAACCATGTTTGATAAGTGATAGAGTGAAAAACATCAGAATTACTTGAAAACACTGCAGTTATGTCCCTCGGAGAATAGGTACGTTGAAGAGTGAGCCACGTTCTCTTGCTGTAATACACAGAAAGGGAGTAAAGAAGGCTTCTATTTGGCTTTGCAAAATATGGCTCAGAAATGATTTTTTTCTATTATTCATGTGACAAATCACCGAAAAGAATTTGTAATATACCTTGCAGTGTGGCTCTCAGTGCAGCTGTAGATGTCCCACCAATCCCTTTGGCTCTCACCAGGCCATCACAAAATTTAAGAAGTAATTTGTCAATAATAAGAATTGTTTCTCAGGGTGAGAACAGAATCTCTTAGTTCCTTAGATGCCCAGGTTGAACACGCCAAAAGGAGTCCAGAGTAAAGAAGCATGGATTTCCAATGAAGTCACATTCTTTAATTTTCAGATAAATCTTTCACCTGGTTTAAAGAAGCTGTTCACAGTCACAGCAGTGAGTGCAATATCTGTCATTTTTCTGGCCCATCATTTCAAAAGAAAACGTGGAAGGAAAAACAAGCAAGTGTCCCAATGGGAGCCAGGTCATCTACTATTAGAATGTACCAAAGCAGCTGCGTCAGAAAAAGGTACACGAAGGAACCCCAAAGTCTTTGTCTCGGGGGGAGGAAAGGGATGTGGAGGGGTCAGTGTATGTAACAGTATACGAAGCCATTTTCCTTTAATGTTGAGGAGATTTGAACTGTTGAAGTAGAAATTGTTAAAGACAGAGTTATGTTTTATAAGTTAACTAGTCATCTTCTTGATGTTAATGTTTTAACTTTAAATTTGAAACAAAGTATATTTCATCAGTAATATACTAACAGTTGGATTTGCAGTTCTTGGGGGTACATCAAACTTAAAAGAAGCAAATCTAAACTTTATGGAATGGGAAAAGCTATGCTTAAAATGCATGTTTATTGTCAGGGACATGACTATTCTAATTTGTAACTTCTAACATAGAAATGTAAGTGAAGGTATAACTGTTTGGTTCTGAACTGGATTTTATTGAAATTTCTGGAAACAGTTCTTGCTGGTTCTTGCTAACATAAGATCTGCTAGTTTTAAAGCTTCTTCAAACTGAAAATGTTGTATCTAATAGGTTCAAGTTGTTCCAGTAGCCGACAAAACTTGACTCTTTCTCTGAGCTCTGCCAAGGAAAAAGGATCACAGTCATGTATCTATGCAAATGGAGGGCTTTTCAGTAAATACTCTGGTTCAGTTCAGAGTCTGGTCTCAGTAAGTAGAAGTGTTTTACGGCATTTCAGTGTCACTGTGTATTGGGGTCACACCTAGTGGTTTCCCTGAGCTGAAACAACTTTTCTGAGTAAGCTGTATACGCTGCCTCTGAAGGATAGAGGGGCTGACTGAGCAGATGACCTCTTTGTGGAAGAAGCTACTGTACTTTCTACATTGTGAAAATAGTTTTTGTCAGAGATTTTATGCAACTGTAAAGTAAATGGGACAGCCCATTCATTCTGTCCCTCTGACCTTCCTGTCTTGTGTCTAACAACTTCATAAGAATCCAGTTCATGAGATGGAATGAGCCAAAACTATGCTATTCAGTGCAGCTGAAAGCAGGATTCCCCTTGTATCTTGCACTCAGTTATACATCCCTGGGTATATGTATGTATATGTAATGTAAATATACGCACACAGCTTTGATGCATTTTAGACCTTTTAGTGAGTGAAGTGAGTTTACTGACTTGGCAGTAAAATCACTTGTAATAAATCAAGATTGAATGCTTTCTTGTTAGGTTAGTGAGTTGGACTGAATCTCCAAACATTAGAATTGACACAAGAGTACCAGAAAAGCCTGAATGTAGAGAGATAGAGAGACCTTCTCAGCCACATCAGCTCCTCCTAAACTTGCAGTCTGGAACAACAGGTCCTGAAAATGCTCAAAAACTTCTAGAGTTATATAACTCACTAGCACAAATGCCATAGGAAGGAGAGCTTAGTGCAGTTCAAAGGTGATAGAAAGAAGAACAGAGGTGAGAACCACTGAACCCCTAGTCAGAATACTGAAATAAATGAATGTTCCTTGTGTGCCTCTGCTGCATTGTAGATGCTATGGTGTGTGTTCTTCATGGTGCAGATAATCTTTGTTTCAATGATCAGCATCTCTAATTAGAAACTTTTTACAGAGCAAGAAGCTTAATACAGCGTAGTTTCTTTAATGTTGCACTGGGAAGTGGGTTTACAACACTCTAGACAGTTATTTTTGAGACATTTTCTGATTTTTTAATAATCTACAGTCAGATTTACTTGAATGATATTGTAAATCAATGATTACTTTCATATTTTAGAAAAAGAGCAGTGCAGACTTCCAGAACATTGCTGTTAATTCTAGGGTGTGTTTTTCCAAAGAAACAGTTACACGTGGCCTGATAATAACTGTGCTTTCCTAAAATCTTTTTAAAAGTAATCTGTAGATAAGACTTGGACTATAATGTACTCTAGTAGGAACGTAATCTTAAGGATACTCTGTATAACAACAGAGTTGTTATAAATGCTTCTAAATCTTGGTGTTTTTAAAATGTATTTATTTTTAGGTTCAGAGTGCCACCTCTTGTCACAGCTGTGCTTGTGCCAATTCTAATTCCTGGGATAAAGCAGATGAAGAGGATATTAAGCTTGTTAATATTCCAGTGACTACACCTGAAAACTTATATTTGATGGGTAGGTTATCATCAGAATATTCGGCATCTAGCAGTAATGAAAGTAAATAATTGTTTTTATGACAAAATGGCACCTGCATAATATTACTGTATTTTTTTTTTTCAGTGTCCTGTGGGCACCTAAGAGCATTTCCATAAATTAATGAAAACCTACTTAATCTAGTGTTGGGAAAATCAAAACTCTGTATTTTCAAAACGTATATTTGCAGTAGTAAGCTATAGGTTTGTTCTTAAATGTAAATAGGAAAAAATACTACAGCCCTCATTGATTTAACCATATTGTGAGTTTCTTCATCTTAAAAAATCAGATGGCTGTTTTAAAAGCTTGCATTTCTGCTGTAATCATGCATGTTATCTATATAGTTTCCTATGACTCTAAAGTATGAATACATACCAAAGCTGTGTGCCTGATGGAATGGAGGCATTCCTGATGTTCCTATAGGTATGGAGCTCTTTGAAGAAGCACTGCGTCGATGGGAGCAGGCATTAACTTTCCGTAACAGGCAAGTGGAAGATGAAGCAAGCTGTAGTTCCATCAAGCTGGGAGCAGGAGATGCAATTGCAGAAGAAAGTGTAGAAGTGAGTATATTTAATCTACTTTTGCTGTCCAAACAATTCATTGCCTTTTGCTACCTGGATCTTATAAACTTCTAATGCATTTGCCAAAATTAAGAGCAATTTCAAAGAACGTTCATTTGAAGGATATCCAACTTTTTTCCCCCCTTTCTTTTATTAGTATTGGGGGAAAAAAAAAGTAGCTTTATGTATTTCTTGTCATTTGCTGCTGCATCAATGTTTACTTCTGGACAGTAATACTGTTATCAAGTTACCAAGCATTTCTTTAACTAGTTCTCTCTCTTGGATCATCTTTCTTGTACAGCTGTGAGAGAAAATCTGCTTAGCAAAAATACTAGTCTTGGAAAAGATGGTTTGTGAATGTTAACAAATAATATGTTTGAACTTTATCTGTATCTCTTTGTTCTCGTGGACTAAATGATTAAATATTTTAAATAAACATACACCCATACAGCTTTCACTCTGCTGCAGTAAGCATAAAAATATTTAAAGATTTAGATTTTATTTTTATTATACTGAATCAAGTATGTGTATCTTTAGAAATGCGTGTGTATTCTGGATATTGAAGTGTTCATCTGACAGAGTCCTTGTGCTGCTCATAGGAAGCTAGTGTGGCACAGTGAGCTCTTTAAAGACTGAGAAAGATTTCTTTGTTAAATCCAAGAATATAGACTGTAAATAAATGGAAAATCTAATGTCTTCTTGCAGGATATTATTAGTGCTGAATTCATCCATAAGCTTGAATCCCTGCTTCAAAGAGCTTATCGTCTCCAGGAGGAGTTTGAGGCCACCCTTGGGACCTCTGATCCTGCTTCTCTGGCTAATGATATTGGTGAGTACTACTATTTTGTTTTTATTGCTTGTATTAATGCCTCTTGTGAAGGGAACTCATGGAAATATCCACTGAGTAGAGCTAATAAACAGAATAAATTCCAGATCTTTCACATCATTATTTAAAGCTTAAAGCAGTATTTGTATTTTCATAGAATCATAGAATCACCAAGGTTGGAAAAGACCTAAAAGATCACCCAGTCCAACTGTTCACCTATTCCCAATAGCTCCTACTAAACCATGTCCCTCAACACAACATCCAGTCTTTCCTTGAACACCCCCAGGGTCGGTGATTCCACCACCCCCCTGGGCAGTCCATTCCAGTGCCTGACCACCCTTTCTGAAAAGTAATACTTCCTCATGTCCAGCCTGAATCTCCCCTGGCGTAGCTTGAAACCATTCCCCCTGGTCCTATGACTAATGACACGAGAGAAGAGGCTGACCCCCAGCTCACTACAACCTCCCTTCAGGAAGTTATAGAGAGCAATAAGGTCTCCCCTGAGCCTCCTCTTCTCCAGGCTGAAATTTTAAATTTTAAATAAGAATGAACTGCTGAGAGGATTTTTCCCGCTCATAGATTGTAAGTATATGCAAGTATTCTCAGAATTCTTCTCAACTCTCTAAAGTTTATCTCGACTCAGGTATTTAAAAACTTATGTAGTAATAATATACATCCCTCTTCTCACAGCATAATTGTATGAGAGCATTTCAAACAAAAGATTTATATGTTGTAATGCTATAATAGAATGAGAAGTACAGTGATAATAGCAGCGATCTACAAGAGAGCCCTCACCTCCACTGCCAGCCCTTAAATGAGGTCTGGGAAGGAGCTGATCCTGGCTTCACCCCTTCTGGTTACTTAGGAGCATTGCTTAGACCTGAGCTCCCCTGAGTTGGACCTGTCTTCCCACCAGGTACTCAATCACCATTTCAGGCCGTGGCTTAGCATTTCTGCTACATATGTCTTCTGAATATTTTAGTTGTGTAGCCTGGTGTAACTTTAAAAGAAAGAAAAAAACAACAACAGCAACAAAAAAAATGACCTGGCCCATAACAAAATGAAACCAGAAGGTCAGAAGAAGATATCTATTTTCAAAGCTTTCATCCTTAAAGATTGAAATTTGAGGTATGAGTTACTAAACTTGGGGTGTTGTAACGGCAAGTCTAATAAGAGTAATTGCTGCCAGACATGCTGATTTTATTTAAAGAATTGGTTTAAGGTGTTCCTAAAGCTTGATATCACTGCACCCATTCATAATTCAGTATCAAGTATCTGATTTCAAATAACTGTCAGACTTCAAAGGCAGAACATGTTCTGGGATTAGTTTTAGTTTGTAGTCTTGTTTGTTAGGCTTGAGCTTTGGTTTGGCTGGCACAAGGTGGCAGTCCTCTCATCTCTTTGCCTTCACATCATTCTGCACTTCTAAATACAGATCTGAGTAAGGTGAGAATTAGATCAAAGCTGGCTTTCTGCTCTGACTGCGTACACTTGTAAACATACATAAGCAGAAAAGTGTTTGGATGTTTTATTTTGATGTCTGAAGCCATAAGCCATAAATAAAGTTGCAGCATGTGTACTTTTTAAAATAGAAACTTTTTTGTAGCTTTTGTCCTCAGGCAAGATTAATAAAATAGAATTCAAGGGGCTCAGTATATTTAGTTGTTGATTTGTTGTGTTTCCCTGGAAGTATTTTAAATTGTGTTGTGATTTTTTTAAGATATGATAATTTTATTCTTACCATGAATACTCTGACCATTCAGTTATTTTCAAATGTTCGTAGTAGAAATCATTTGTGATCTCCTGAGTAGATGTCATCAGTTTTTTCATTGTGAAGAAATGAAGAATTGTGCTGGGCTGGATGTGTAAGGGCAAAAAAGTAAAGAATTCATTTAGTGAGCAGTGCTTCAGTGTTCTGGATTTGGGTTTTTCATCATTACTGTATATTCATGACTTGAACAGCAAGTATAGTAGCAGAAAACGGATCACTTTTGCAGAAAGTTATTTTAGGATGTAAACAGAAAAACATCATCTCATCAAACTTTGTGGCACTTAAAAGGTTTAATACAGAGTATGGTTTTGTTCCTTATTTGTTAGATATAGAAACATTTATTCACTCACAATTTGACAGATAATTTACTTTCCTGTAAAATATGATTACTAGATGTGATGTGTGAATGTTTGAAGAAGGGTATTTGAAGAAGGGTATTTCTAAGATGAGTGTTTTTTGGTAACTTTTCTGGGAAAAGTTAGAAAACTGTGTTTGGGAGAATTGACAAAGCTTTCTTATATTTTTATTTTTCCTTTAATTTTTACTTGGTAACCGCGTGAAAGGAAACGAGCTCTCAACAGATCTGCCCTTACACCCTCTAAAATGCGTATGTTAACATATAATACTCATTTTATTTCACTTCTCTTCAAAGCTTTGTATAACTCTCTTATGAAATGGTAGTCCTGGATAATTCACATCTAAAACTTATGAAAGAAGCTGGATGAAGAAAGCACCCTAATCCATCACTTACTGATCATCTGTCTTGGAAAGAGGAAGATGTTGCAAATGATGGGGAAATTGCATAGGGTTACGAATGAGGAAGAAAAAAAGGGGAAGGGGGCCGGTGAAAGAAAAGGCACAACCCAAAATGTCATGCCAATGAAAGAATGGAGTTAATAATTCACTGTTCTGTTACCTCAGATGATAAAAGCTGTAATTAGTGCCAGTCGATATGATTTCTTGGGAATTAGCTTTTCTCAAACTGTGTGGGTTGTTGTTTTTTTTTTTTTGAGACGTGCAATTTTGAGAAGCAATACCACATGCAGTAGATGATAAGAATTAGCTTGTTGACTTGAATGTTCGTTGATGATCTGCCCTACTATGAAGGGGAAGGTTTGTAGAAAACTATTTTAGGACAATTTATGGTCAAACACTGTAATTTTATCAACTATGTAGTTGATGATAAAATTGTTCACGTGACTTGGAGCTAATGAAAAGTAATCATTTAGGGCATTAAAAGCATTGAGCAATGAAAAGGAAGGGTTAGTAATACTGATGTGAATTATCCTTTTGTGTTTGAATACGGGCAAGTATGGATTGCACACAGACATGGGAGATATTAAAAAATAAATAGGAAAATTATGCTTCGCAATCCATGTAAGCTACCAGCACAGTGCTATAGGGGGCAAAAAACCCAACAAACACTACTAATTTTTAACTATGTGACAAGGACAGTATCAGCGAATTTGCAGAGATACAGTCTTGTTTCTATGTGGCTTTAGGGTACTGTGTACCAGTTCTGTTCTTCATACTTCAGAAGATAAGGAAATACTAGACAGCTCCAAACAAGCCATATAAATGATGCGTGTTTTGAAGAGACAAGCTCATAACAGGTTTAAGTCGTGTGTGTTTAGCTGTTCACTGAAGAATATACTGAGAGGAGACTTGCTTCTTCTGAATAGCTACTTACACATGGAAAAGTTATGTGATAGTGGGCAATATTTAGGCCTGGTTGTCAACGCCGTAACTATATCCAGTTTCTGCTTGTTCAAGTGAAACAAATTAAATTCTGAATTAAGCTTGCCTTAAAATGTGTTGAGGATATTCCAGAGTTTTAGATAAAGATGTTTTGCTCTTTTTTTATTGTTATTATTTAATGGTGTTTTGAGGGAAGATTTGTGTCCTTTTGAGAGAAAGGGATGGGTGTGGGGCTTAGATGGTCATTGTAGTCTTTCTGGCATTTGACTGTCCAGCATTACGACTGCTACTTTTTTTTTCTTTCATCAACCTCTGAGAAAAAAACTTTGTTCTCTTTAAAAGGTAACCAGAAAATGCTTTGCTGTATTGGTTTGCTTGGTTGTATTTTTCTCCCCTCTGGTTAGATATATGTCATGATTTTTTTTTTTTTCAGTTTTCTCCATTTTTAGCACTTGTGATTAACCACAGCTGGAGACAGGGCTCTGGCAATGGGGCAGATGCTATCAAGTGTTATCAAAAGACTTGCTACGAAACATCTGACTTTCCTTATTACAAAAGCTTCAGTTACAGTGAGCTCCAAATCCGGCCAGGAGGGAAATTTTTGAAGTTAAAATCACCCATTGTTTTTTAATTTTTCAGTTTTCTCTGTACAATATTTGGCCAAACCTCTGGGGCTACTGAAACCACTCTCCCCCCCTACTTGTTTACTCATGAGAGATGTTGCTCCTTTCAACATCCTTAAATGTTGTTCTTCCCAGGGTCTAATTTTCTCTAAGTAAGAAGTTAGTGCTGTTGTTGACTGATGTTCTTCTAAATTCTGGGCTCCTTACTTTCCAAGCCTAATAGTTTGACAGTTGTGTGAGCTGTACCAGTCCCCAAGGTCCCCATTGCTGTGTAGCTCCGTGTACCATCAGCACATTCCACTGTGGAAGACTGAGGAACGAGCGCTGCAAGCAGGGACACACTGCTGACCTCTCTCTCAGACCACAAGCTTGCTTTTCTTTTTGTGATCCCATTTACTAGTTGAAGTTGTCTGATGTAATAAACAATTTGCCAGCATGCTTTGAGGGATAGACTTCTGGAGGAAGCTAGTGTTAATGTGCTACGTGGGAGAGTCAGGAGCAAGTTACCTGGGATACTGTTAGAATACAATCACTTGTCACTGCAGCTAGTCTCTTTCATGATGTGGCTGAAGTGCTTCTCTGCTGCTTGCTGTGACAGGTGAAAGATGGCTTGTCAGGGCAAGCAATCATCACTTGAAGTGGTTGCGTGCTCTAGTCGAATATTCAACTTTACACCTGCTAAATAAATGCCTCTTGTGGGTAGAATTCTGCCAGGTTGTTATTGCTGTTATTAATTGCAAGTCATCTCTTTCAACTCAGTAACCTATTGTTGAGTTAGAAATGAATACAGCCCTGGAAAAGATTTACATTTTAAAAAGATAAAATAATGGAATGTAATTGTGTTCACTGTGATCACACTCCCTACTGGACTTTTAGAATTATCATAGAAACCAGCAAGCTAAAAATGATTTCTAAAGCACAGGAATTTCTGGATGTGAAATTAAAAGAAGTACGTAGCGTGAAGCTGCTGTTGGTTTTGTGCTGATTGATTCTCTTAGGAATGAAGCCTAGGACTAAGAAGCCCAGAAGCTGGCTTTCCTGGGGGAGGCATAAGCTACTCTGAATCAGAAAGAAGGCAATTCACAGAAAACTCGCATCACCATAGTGCTCCTTGTCAGTACTTAATTCCTAATTCTTAAAACTGTTATTTTGATTTTAACAGCAAAAAGAAATGCTAACACTCAAGCTAATGGTGACTTGTATGTATTCTGTCCCCTAAACTTTTTGGTAATATATATATTTTTATTAATTACATTTTAACTTAATATTTGCTCATTTAATTTTTTGTTCATCCCTTTTACAACTAATAAAAGATCTGTCGTGAAGGTCTGTGTTGTTGGATGATAGGTATGTCTGTTTCTTTTTTTAATTTTCTCCTCACGCTCCAAGATATGCCTGGCATTTGGGAGAGAATGAGCACAGCCTTTAACCTAGTGACAAAATGCTTGGGAGAACCTGCGTGTTAGAACCCTTTTCTCTAGCTGCTCTTAAGCAGGAAAGCCTTTGCATAATCAGCAAAGCTATTGAACGATCATTTTTATATATTTAATCAGCACAGACTTCTGTAATGTTTTGCTGTTAGTGAATGCGTGAGGCCTGTTTTTTTCTTTCCTGCTTATAAAACATAAATGGAAAATATTTAGCTTGAGAGTACCACACTTTATTTGGTTGCACACAAGAAATATTTCTGTTTCTAATTCTCAAATAGGCACCAATTAGAAGGTCAGCAGTTTTTATCAGTTCACTTAGTTGTGCTGCCTAGTAGCACATACCATAAAATAATTTCCAAGGTTTCACTTTTTATCACCAGTTGAACATTTTGTTTGCTTCATGTTCCCTGAAGATAAATTTACATTACGTGATTTCTTCATTTCTTGAAGAAATACAAATATTTTTTTCTAGTGTATGGAGAAACATTCTTCCCAAGAAATCTTTTCTAAATGAAAGTAATATCACTAAGTTTGAGCAAGCCCAGAAAAGCTACTTCAATCCTATTTCTTAAAAAATGCACATTTTGAATTTAACTTAGCACTCACAGTTTGTGGAAGTTCAATAACTGCTGAAGCTTGCTGCATTTTGCTGTGACCTCTCCTGTATTACAATTCAGTGCTGCAACCAAATTGTCATTTTGGATGCATGATATCACAGATATCTGAATTGTAGAGGATGTTCTTCAACTGTCAGTAATATCTTAGACTTTGCTCTAAAGGCATCGTTGGCCAGTACTAGTAACACTTCCTCTCCAAATTGCATTTGGCAAAATTCTTCACCCAAAAGTCCCTAAAGGCTGAGATCGTGAAACTGGTAGTTAAAGGTTCAATTTAGAACTGTAAACAAAAGTATTTCGGCAAGCTTGAAATGTATCAAAGGATCATAATGCTTGCATTTCTCAGCAATATTCTGTCAGTTTTAGCAGTGTCATGTTTGAAAGTCAGAACAGTTTCGAATGGACCTGCACAGAAGTTATCAGTACTGAAAAGGTTAGTGTTTGATAATCTGTATTTCTGTGTTGATATTTGATAACCTGGAGTGTATGCTTGTGCTTCTGCTAAAAGCGGAAGCTCAGATGCTTTTTCACAGCACAGTAAATATATTAGTTGCAATCTTCTCAGCGGTGGCTCAGAATAATCTTTCTTACTGTACCAGAGCCAACATTGGAGATCCCTTATTGTATGTTAGCTTGGGGTGATGTGGCTAGAAACTTCTGAAAATACTTCAAGATCAGAAAGTATCTAAATACAAAGTCTGTCTACAATTTCTCCGTTATTTCTCCTTCTTCCTGACAACGTGAGAGCAGCTGCAATCATTTCTTCCCCAATGTCTCCCCTTAACACAAGCTTTCTGCCTCCTTCTGGTTATCCAGGCAGTGCTTCATCATTCATAACTTTTCATCTTCATTCAGAATGTATTAATGAAATTACGAATCAGCTTGTAATTAATGAAGAGCATAACGTAATTAAAGTAAACCTCAAAACAAAGATTAGATTGGCTTTTTACAAATATTGGAATAAAATATTTTTAATATTTAGTTAGGTATTATTTGGTGTTTCATTTTGCAAGAGGAGCAAACCATGAAAGTCAGTGATGACTGTCTGACCACAGTTCATGTTGTCAAGGATTAGACTATATATTGCTCCATAGACAGAAATGAGATGATTATATAAACAGAAGGGTATTGGAAATTAAAAGCTGGTTTGTGGCGGGGCAAAGTTCTTCATCCACCCAGCACTGAAGTTTGAATTAAAACCCACAACCTGCTGAAATGGTTAAATAAACGTATAAATATTCCTTGATTGAAACACGTAGTGTGGAACATTGTGGCATTGCTTTTAAGGTAAGTACTTACTGCTGAACAGTAAGGAGAGCATTACAATTCAAAGCAGAACATCAAAACAGCTGAACAGGTCAGATGATAGGTACGTGTAGTCCAATACTTTTCAATAGTGGTTGGCAGTAGATTTGAAAGGCATTTAAGAATAGACTGCGTATAAAAGAGCCTTCCTTTAGCAGAACTCTTGGCTTCCAGACTATGGGTAAAGGCTGCCATAGCCAAGTTTACCTCTGACCATCTGTTTTCAGATTGGACCTCTGAACATCCCTTTGAATCATTTTATGCTTTCAGCTTTCACAATGTCTTATAGCTATGACTTACCACACCTCTATCATTTTAAAATAAAGAGATGAAAAAAAATCCACCTGGTAAGAAGGGAGCAGTTGCTATGAAATATAATAAATCTTTCTCCCTGCTATTTATAATTAAATCTCTTGATATGTTCCTTTCTCTCTTCTCTTTTCAACCTTCTTGTGCATACACAAAATCTTTGTGACTGTTATTTATTGCTCCACATTTCAGTTGAACTCTAGACCCTCGCATCTCCTTGTGTGAAAGCCGTTGCATACTTGTGTTTATACTGGATAGCTTTCTGCATAGCTTTCTGCAAGCTTCAGTGTATACTCTTTCTGAATATTTTGGTCAAAATTTAGTGTATAAAGTTCATATGATGCAGACAAAGTAAGGGCTTATAGTGACATAATTTCTGTCTCCTGATAACTTCTGTCATTCTGGTTGTGTTTTCTACAATATGACCAAAGAACAATCACTTCACTACACATCTATTTTTTGAGCTGTTCCTATTGTTGGGTTCTTGTAGCTCAGGTTGTTCCTGTGCGTTCATTTGCTGTTACTAAATAGCTAATCAAGTGGTGAAACAAATTAGGCACTTAATAAGCTTCTTCCATGACTCATTTTGTTCAAACTTAAAATCAGCTGGCTTAAGTGTCTTGCTTCTGTAGTGAACTTTGTTCCCTCGTTATCCCTTTGCTTTTTCCATTTTTTTTTTTAGATCTGTGAATTTATTTTAATGAAAATGTGGCCCTGTGTTTCAGCCCACATTTTTATGGGAATCTTTCCATAAATTCTTACTTTTCTTTTTTTATTATTATTATTAAATAATAATTAAATTAATTAAATTGTTATATTAATTAAATCACTTTTCCACAAGCTGATTGATTATTTCAGGAAAACTGCACTTTGTTTTTAAAGGTGGAGTGGGGTTCTCGTGTTCTCTGGACTTACTGGCAATCCCCAGTAGATCACAATTCTTTATTATACTCTTCATCAGTTGTTTGTTGTAGGATTCATTCCTGCTGCCTGTAGTTAGATAGCAATGGAGCCCTTACTAATAGTTTACATTAAGCTGCCTTTAATTTGTGCCACCAGCTGTTGTGAAAAGCTGTGAACAACACTCAGTATTTTATTACTTTCATACTTCACCTTTTTTGAAAAATCATTGTCTGCAATGCCTTTGTGTGTTGTCTGTTCCTCTCACATTTTATCTGTTGCCCATTCTCCTGCTTAATTCACATCTGTATCTTCTCTGTGTAACTTCTCTGGTTATTTTTTGTGTTTGTATTTGTTTTTTGCCTTTTCACACATATCTACCTATTCTTTGCTTAAGGGAAGGTGATCATTTCCACCCCACATCAGGACTGGATTTCTTAAATCTTGCCTTCACTTTGAATACTTCTGAAGAGTGGTAAATATGAAATAAGTGGAAACAGCCTTCCAAAGGCAGGAAGTCACACTGTTGGTTGTTCTTATTATTATTTTTATTCCTTTTTTTTTTATACCACTTTTCTTCTGTGATATTCTTAACAAGTTAAGAATTTACAAATTCTTTTTCTTACTAAAGAGGATGTATATACACTTGAAGTCTCTGTGTTTATATACATTCTGAATACAAATGTTCCAGAGGCAGGAAAAATTATACCAGACAAATGGCAAGCTGTGGGGGAGGGAGAAGTGTTTATTTTTCTGGCTGGAGTATTGCAGTGTGAGGTTATATAAACTGATGATCAAGAACACGTTTTGGCCCATAGGCCTAATTCCTGCTTCAGAACTTCAACTAGAAGTAATTTATCGTTGCATTAAATTCTATTTTAAGGGAGGTTTGTCTGAAACATTCTTGGGGAAAATGAAAGGAGGGATGGGGCAAGAGAGATACAGACAGAATGATAGTTCAGTTTAAGAAGACTTCAGATCTGTTAGTTTGGTCGCTTAATCTTAAAAACGTGTAATATCAAGATCAGATATTGACAGAATCATACAAAATCAGCAAATTTAGTTCTCAGTACTATAGCTCCTCTATCAATTCAGCAGGTAGTTGATGCTAAAATAAATCAAATTTTACCTTCAGTTTATGTTCAAGGGGTTGCAATGAAAACACTGCATGCACACATGCAAGAGCGAACTATTTTTCTTACCCACGTGCCTGCTGTGTTTGAGTCTCGCTACCCATTAAGTCAGAGACCATTTCTTTTCCTAAAGGCATTTTTAGAATTTTCTTTCAACTTTTGTCTTAACTTTCCTTCTTTTCAAACTTGAACCCATATGTGTGGGTATACCTACTTTTGTGGAACGTTGTAACAAAAGGTGCTGTGAACAACAAGGAGAGTAAAATTTGTGTTTTGTATCAGTTTTCAGTCACGCATCTGCTCATCACAGAAACTTACAGAACTGTGGTTTTGAGATTGAACTATGAAAAGCCTGTCTTACTTGATGGTATGTCTGCTCTGTACACAATGTCCCATCTTACCTAATAATCCTGTTCGTAGCAAAGTGCTGTGGAGTATCTGATTCAGGAGTATCTGATTCAAGAGCACATGCTGATCACACGAGGCTTTGTTCTCTCTACTGCTATTTAAAGCTGTCCTTGTTCTACATGCTGAAATGCCTGCAAATGTTTAAAGGCAAACATGTAAGTATTTCCAGATCGCAAAGAACAGATGCAATTCAGACTTTATTTTTAATTAATGATGAATAAATAATATACTGACTAGTTTGCAACTTGAACTACATATGCTGGAGTAGCTGATAAGCAGTGTTGAGTGTCGCAGGTTGGGTGCACCGATTGTTAAATATAATTCAGGTGTTAATTCAGGTGTCGTTACTAATGCATTTAACAATCTCAGTAATTCAGAGGAAGAACTTTTTATTCAATTCAGTATTAATTTTTAAGGATACTTGTCTAATTCTTTCTTATTGTCCAGAGCAAGAGGAATATAAACGGGCCTTAGTCTGTGGGGTACTTCAGATATTATTTAAATCTTAGTGTTTAAAGTTACATGTGTACCTTGCTAATTTAGGTTCCTGAAGAGAATGCTGTGTGAAACTGGGTTGGCAGAAGTCAGTTGTGTTCCAGAACAGATTCACTGCAGTCTGCACAATACTGTAACATTTTCCTGCCCTGAGGCAGTCTGCTTTTTAATACAGAATCCGTTAGTCCCAATAAAAAAATACGTATTTGTAGATTTTTATTGCCACTTACTTGACTGAGTGCCAGCAGTAGTTGGTTCTGTCTTCCTAACTTAATGCCTATTACTGGGATAAAAACGTACCCACCTATCTTTCTTATCACTGCCTTCAGTCCTGCAAGCTGATCACGTGCATCTTAACGTGATCACATTTCAGGAGCAAAGTGTTCTGTACTTTTAAAATACATTTTTATTACCAACTGCTAGACAGTACACTTTTCTTTCAATGTAAGAACAAATGAATATGTGGGCTCCTTTTGTCAGTCTCTCTCTCTTACTTTGAAATGCAAATATCCCTTAAGCATAATACTATGGCTAAAGAAAAACCTTTCCAACAATCGTGTGTTTAAAACGTCACTTCAAAGAGAACATGGTGGATGATCCCACACCCTTAGACTGTCCAGCAGAATAGTCTATATTCTAGTATACAAAATTTATATAAAGCTATTTAAAGAATGTCATGAGGCAGACCGTTTCAAAGTTTCAGCCAGGAAAAGGAGTGAGAGGTACCACTAGAAATGAACTTGTGCAGATATCTTGTTGTGGTTTTTCTCTTTTAGAATTTTGTTAGATTTACCCAGGTATGCTAAGACAGAGGCCAAAGGGACAAGTTCATTTACATTTGAGACTGCTTTCAAGTCCGGTGAGAAGGCTTTTCTACCTAAACTGCTTATGGATGCCTCTGATGTAGGAAACATATTAAATGAACTGATTCTATATGTATAAACCTCAAAGTTAACATTGTATTTCCTTCTCCTTTAAACATGGTGCTACGTTTTGAATCTGCTCTGCATCACAGTGAGTTAATGTGGTATCGCACTGTATGTGACTGAACAGACCATTCTATTGTCAGCAGAAAGTGCATGTGCAAAAATAGTGGCAGGTTGTGCTTGTTTTTAAGATGTGGAGAACTAAGAAAAGGCAGTGACGTTCAAATCTGATGACTAAGGCATCTGGCAATCTTCACAGTGCTGTGCTATAAATCTTCAGTGGACAGCCCACGTTTTAAAATAAGCATCATGTGAATTCAGACTAGACTTTGCTATGGCCAGAATAGATGGTATGCCTTCTGAACTACAGGAGAGCAGAGTGCTCCTATGAGGGGATGTGGTGACAACTTTGTTTTGTGTTTTCAAAGTCTACGTTTTCAAAGAAATGAAAAATAAGTTTTATGGACAGAGACTTAACAGTGAGACGTAGTTTATACAGAATATAAATCTCAAATTTTTTTCAGACACTTAGATTCACATTCGGCAGAGAATTAGAATTAGGCATAGAAAGCATTTGTTTTATATTTACTAAACTGATTTCTGAGCTGTCTGCATGTACGATGCATTAGTTCAGGTTATCAAGTACATATTAGGTGCTTCTGTATTTTCTTAAAGTTCAAATTTGAACAATAAGCACCATGTGTGTTTATCTTGCCTCTTCTTTGAGACATGGAGAGTTTGTAACGCTGTGAAGTCTTTCAAGTTTGAGATTTTGGTTTTAAAATAAAGCATGCCACAATTATTCAGAAAGTTTTCTCAGTTCACATTCTTTACAACAAGAAATTTGATTATCAATTTCTGACCTTTCAAAAAATACTATCAGAAAATATTCAGTTACGAAATTTGTGGAAGGCTTGTTTAGCAAATCTAAGTTTTGAAAGAATAATTCCATTTACCAGCAATTCAGAACATCAGACCCATGTTAATGTAGCTGTGTCTGATAGACAGGAAATAAACCATACTAACATTCTTGTCTTAGGTACACTTGATGTTTACTTAGACTGCAATGATTACTTTTGGACAGGCATTTTGTGCTGTGTTTTCCTTTGCTAGATGAGAACGTTCAAGGCACTTGATTTTACTGTTTTAGAATGTACAAGCGGCAGCCAACTTGCTCTGTTTTATACATCAGTAAGCATGTGATGGTCAGCAGATAACAGAACTTCATGGACAAAGTCAATATCACAAAGATCTGAAAATAACCAAATTATTTCAAACATTCTGGAAATTGCTTTAATTTCTTTCTGAAGTATGTGGAAAATCTCTTAAAGATTACAAGGTTGTTTTAGGCAAGTTTCATCTTTTTCCAGACAGTTGTCTGCTTGAAAACTACTGAGGCATTTGTTAAGAAGGCTATGATCAGACGACTAGTTAGCTTGACCAAAGATTGCCTTTAAGGTCTGTGTAGATCTATGAGTATGAGGAGAAAAGTGAAATTGTGAATGCCCAGTAGTCAATGCTGTCCCATGTCCAAGCTGTTCCCTTCCATTGAACCACTGCTCTGGTGGCTGAGCTCCTTGTCAAGCACTGGCAGGCAGAAGTTGTATGCTCACCACAGAGCCTGCTGGAGGTGGAGACACAAATCAGCAGTCAAAGTGGGCGGCCATCAGCACTGGAGTGTGATATTTTTTACTTTTTTCTTTTAAATGCATCTCTGATTAGCTCTTGCTTAGCGTGCTTGGGTCTGCATCAAAGCAATCCTGACAAAAAATGGCAAGAAATGTTTTGCTGATGCATGCTGACATACTGGTAGGGTACAGGAGTTGGTTTGATATTTTCAGAAAACCTTGATCTAACATATAGAGTTATAGAACCATTAAGTTTGGAAAAGACCACTGCGAACATCCAGTCCAACCATCAACCCTGCCTCACCATGCCCACTCGCTATGTCTCTCACTGCCATATCTCCAAATCTCTTGAACACCTCCAGGGGTGGTGACTGCACCTGGGCAGGTGTTTTAGGCAATAGCAGCTTTGTTTATATCCAGTAAAGTGAAATGCCCCCAGCTATAAGCACCATCTCATGCAGATATCTGTGTTACTGGTGAACGTAAATGAGGAACCTAATGATACCTGTTCAGTCAAGAGTGGTCTGTGGTCACCCTACTCTGTCCGTGGCCAAACTTTAACAACTGCTGTATGACAGTCATCAGAAAGTTCCATCGGAAGGTAAAGATTACTTCTTGCCATGTTTTTAAAATGAGTAGAAAAATCCACTGCCTTCTAGGTGCTGCATCCTGGAAGACTTCATGTAATACATTAGTAACTATTTGGTAGGACTGATGACTTTTTAAAGAATATTCAGTCAACACTGTCAGCGTTATGACTATTTATAAATGTAAATAAAGCTGCCTCTGATGCTTCAGCAACAGTGCTGACAAAACACTGCTGCATGTGATCCAGCTAAGACAGCAACACATTCTTTTGAAATTGAATTGTGTGTAATTCATGTTGCTGTGCTTTCTCAGCTTGATTATTGTAACTATTGTAATTTCTTTGCTTAGGCGTGAAGCCACGCACCCAAGGGATCTGACTTTTGCAAAACACAGTGGCTGTCTGGGGTAGCCTGGCAGAGCAGAGGGAATGTGTTACTTTTGGTGTACCCTGACTTTTCATAGGTGAATTTCTCTGCAGAGTTTTCTCCTTTCCAGCGTCTATCCCGGGAGCTGGCTGTAATTATTTCACAGAAGGGGTTTTTCTTCCCCATCCTGCTTTCCCACCCATCGTGTTCTGCTGAAGCGAGTGGCTGAGGGACAATAGGAAGCCATGGCTTTACTGGTAGCATTCAGAACTAGGTTCCTTAACTCTCGGTGAATTCTTTGTCAGCAGATAAGTGCTTTCCTTTTTTAGCTGCTGCATGCAAACTCACACCACTTTTCACTTGGGGTAATAGAGAAGATAACATGTATACACTTTTCAGAATTGAAAATGTTATCTGTAGGTGAATTCTTCTCAAATGAATGCTAAATAGCTGATTTCTGTGCAATTCCATCTCTAAGGTCAAATGCTATTTTGAGAGTTGAGGAATTTAATTTTTTGGTCTGTCGTGGCTTGGGAACCTACCAGAGACCAAACAAAGAAGAATCCCAGAGTAGTATGTTATAGGTATGAGGTGGTTGGATTTTTTGTGTGTTTTTTATTCTTGTTTGTTTGTTTTGTGATGGTGGCTTTTTGGTTTGAGTTTTTTTGTTTTTTTTTTTTTAAATAATTAATTTTTTAAACACTATTATTTATTGTTATCATTACCTTTGTCTGCATAATCTTATAAAGCTGGGGTTAATTTCATAAGTTTTTGCCATACTCTGTGTTCTTAGAGTTTTGGAATCCCCTTAATCTAACTTTAGAGGCAGTTAGGTATTTTAAAGCACTACAGCTTAGAGTCTTTATGGCAATTACTGTCGTCAGTAACACATCTGAAATTCCATTTCATCCTCTTTACAAATATAAATGAACCCTAAATAACTCCCTAGCTTCTCAAATAAGTGAAGCATATTTGAAGCTCACAGAGTTGCTGGTATTCCTTTCTTTCAGCTACTAGTCTACGTAAGAACTTGGGATGACTGTACCAGCAGATGCAGCCACGTGTGGGTGGGTTCCTCTTGCAGCTGTTCATTCCAGGATTCTCATTGTGCTGCTGTCTCTTTTTTCAT